TAGCAACAGAAGGCTGGTGGGACCTCCATATTGTCGATCGGCAGCTTTTGCAACTTCTTTTATATACATCAGTTAACTTACAGAACGATATTGCTGTATATTTACCGAAGAAGAGTCCAAATGTTTGTCTTTATTATTTAATTATTATTCTGAGTTCGTAATCAAAAACTCCATTACAGATAGCTTTCCGCTTTATAACGATACCAGTTAGTCATAACAGTGTTTTATGCATCATATGCGGTGCGGAGCCTAAAATAAGAGATTTAATTGACATCGCTCAAAATACATTTTGCAACGATGTATTTGTACTTCAAAGTATTGAACGCTGTATGCCAAGATGTTTACCGGATCAATTTGATCTCGATTCAAATATAGAGGCGATAATATTAGCAAATGCTAATACACGAAAATGTGTGTTTTCTTTTAATAACACAAGTAATGCCCATGCAAAACGCTTTGTTGGAGAAGGTCAACCGTCCGATGTGCTGAGTAAAATGTTCATTCAATCATTGACAAATGCATTCCTTGCCGAAAATCAACAGTTGGAGCATATCAGTCTTTCTGATCAATATTGGTATTCCGATAGCCACATATCTTACATAAAGAAAGATTCTAATCATAATATTTTATGCCTGTTATGTATGTCGTCTGTTCCAGTAAACACTGTCAAGTAAGTTTTTAGTAAAAAATTCCACACAGCAGGATGAAACACGTGCCATAGAAACATAAACAAAATAAAAATGTTGTGGGGAAAATTTTTCTAAACTGTTGTTCATTTTCATAGAAAAAGTTGTAGTTTTTGTTTAGATACGTATGGTTTCTTGCACTTGCAAATTGATGAAAAGAAATTGAATAATTTTATTGAAGCTTTTTTTTACTTTTTAAAATATCCATCTGATTTTCCACATTAATCCCATTATGTATGTAACAGTATAGAAGTAACCGCCAACGTGTGGAAACCGGGCGCGTATAAAAATCTAATAGATTGGGACTTTATTACACAATCAAAAGACTGAAAGCTTCATTGGACTTATCGCGATAGTTAACGCCCCAAACGATTCAAGCCTGAAACCAAAAAATTCTCTTAATACTGTTTCATTGAATTTTTTTTGAAAATATTGATCTAAAACTTGTTGATCACCTTTAAAATATAAAATATACATCACTTAGGCACTAAGGTGTATTAAGTTTGTGAGTATGTATGCAACACACAGAAGCACTTTTATTGTACCGATCGATTCAACAAGTTCTTCTGGCACTAAGCTTCTCTGTCCGTCTTGTATTTCTGTTTTCAACCTGCAGGACATGATTTTTGATTAAATTCGGCACAACGGTATATTTTGAGTCAAGGATCAGAACTACTGAAAATAGTTGTGGTGGAAAAGTGGTTGTATATGAGTAACTGTATTAACTGATATAGGTGATATGGGCTGTGTGGGCTGTGGTGGTATCCGGCCCACTACCATTTGTATATTTGTTTTATCGTTTTTATTACATAGTTTAGAAATACGGCATTAAATATTAAATAGTCATTTCACATATGTATACATATAAGAATAGAAATTCTTTGATTGAAACATATAAATCTGGCCAGATTCAATATTTCTTAAGCTACATATAGTGCCATCAAATATTTCATGTTCCTACTCGTACTGATTTATTTATTTATGCATTTGCAGAGGCATTTGTGACGATCTATTTTTCAAATTACTTCAGGATCAATCATATTGCTGGTAAAAACACATATCGTGGACACAATATGCAGTCAATTGGTTTTGATGACTTAGCAAAGGTTTTACGTATATGTACTTAACTTTTACATATGAATGATAAACAAACAAAAAAAGATATACATATTAAATAAACTTAAAAATTTTTAAAACAATTTTTACTTACTCGGGAAACTGTATAAATCACAATGTACAAACCTTTTTCAAAATTGATGACGCTGCTGTAGCTGTAGCCAATGGTATCCATTTTGCACGAACAATTTGCAATATTTTTCACGGATAATAATAATTGACAATTCTTCTTGCACGATTGTAAATATTTACATGGAAGTATGTACAAAACTCCGCACGAACATTAACGAGAATGATGATAGATAAGGCAGAAAACCCTCTCTCTCACTTTCTTCTAATATATTAGGAATTGCGGTTGTTTATGTAATCACATTACTGAAATTTTCTGCTTCAATCTGTACAAATTAGGAGCGGGAAGGGCTATAGTGGACAATATGCAGTCGTCACCACTGAACAAGGCCATAAATACTTCAACAGTGTTACTGTTCCATAAACCTCAGTTTTGTAAAAAGCAATGAGAAAATTAGCGCGTAAGCTATAGTAAGCGAAATTCCTATGTACCGTCCATTTTGAAAGAAATAAAATTTTCGAATTTTTTATAATTTATTACAAAAAATTGAATAAACTACATACAACTACAATCTTTGTATGTGTGTACACTATGAAAATATACATATTTTAATTTAAAACTCATGGAGACTTGACTAGTTTCGTGTAACATGTCCTTTTATAACTACATAACAACCTGTACGTTTAGATCCATTTCTAATTTTGTAATTCGTTACATTTAAACACTTTTTATAATAAAGTTTTCGCAAAAAAAAAATAAAAAATCGCCTTCTTTTCCAGCGTGATATTTCGATGTACGGCGGTTTACTAATCGCTTATCGAGTATGCCTTTCGAACACATTTACTGTGTCGCGTTATTCGAGATTCTTCGTTATCGGGATCAGCATCGCAATCAAATTCACAATGATTTGCAGACGATTTGACTAGAGCACATGTTTTAATAAAATCAATCGTTGAGTAACTTAAACAAATTTCCGTTAATTTCTGAGCATCGTCACTTGAGTCAGTCGCTTTATTATTATGGTATTTGGCAGGAATAGCGATCTCCATGGAATTGTCTTCGTTCTGTTTAGTCCTATTTGCGTAATTTTCACGTAGACTTAGAGATTGTCCATTGCCAACGGAAGCGTTAGAGCACTGAGACGGACTTTGGGGATTATCTAAGTCTAAGACAATATAATTGATAGATTTATTGTTTGGGTCGGGGCTTTCCGTTAACGAATCTCCATGCGATAGATCAGTATGCAATAAATGTGGAATATCGCTGTGCTCAAGGTTTTCATAACAATGCTCGGTTGAATTATAAAGAGCAGTAACTTCTTTTTGGTCCGTGCTGTTCAAAGTTGGTCTTAGAGTATCAACATTTGCATACAAACGTTGTGCTTCGTTTGTCGTTGATATTGATGCCGCTTCGCATCTCCCTGAAATATTGAAATGTTTCAGTCTAGACTTGTTTGCTACCGGCGTCTGCACACTGCTGTCCTCCAAGGTACCAGCCAAGTTATTATTAAACTCCTGATTTTTCCTTGAAGGTTGTTCCATATAAATATTGCTGGGGTTCACATTTGAATATGACGGCGTATATGGAAAGTGAACAAATTCTGTTACCGAAGACAATCTCTGGACAGGGTCTAACGAACCGCTTTCTACACGAAGCGGAGCAGTGTTGAAAGGACTTTGATTCTGCATTTCTAGTCGACGACCGCAAATACCTTGTACTGTTTCCGATTCCAAATAATTGTTAGGATTTGTATTAATTTCATTTCGTTCCAGGGTATTTTGAACACTTATTATCGCATCATGTCGCCTGTCCCGATCCGTGCTTACAGACATTGTGTTTACGTATCTTTGAAACTTTTGATATAACAAATCCGCTTTACAACATCGAAAGGTATATATCCGCGAACCCGTTGCGGATCGGCGCCCAGCTTCGAAGCTGAATATGTTCCCATTTAATCCATATCTACGAACATGCTTCCAAGTCCAAACAATCGGCTCCTTGCCCGATGCCGTAAACATGAACTCATTCGGACTTAATTCCAAAATTCCACATCTAGACATTGTTGGTAAATCTGGTTGCAGCCGCACTACACTGACATAAAATACATTGCCTTTCTTGCATGTATGAAGTTTTTTTGTACTATTAATGCATCCCATATTTAAATACCTTTCTTTAAATTATAATATCTGGTGACTATTATTATGCCATGCTCACATACAAACACATTTAACAAAATATCACATAAAATGTCTTTTGTTTTCCTTTTCTTTAGATTCAATAGAGGGCTTTTGGTCCTCGCACAAATCCTTTTTGGTTTTCTCATCACCGTATTAATAAACAGTGTTGCCCATTTTCTGCAAAGCTACTAAGAATTGTGAAAAATGTTGAATAGAGACAAATTCATCATTAAATATATCGCACAATCCTTTCGAAACAAGGATCATCTGTAGTGATTAGATTAATGATTTACCTAAATCAACTTCAAGTTATAACTCACACCTTAAATATGTTTAGAATGTTACTTAAAACATAATCAACCCGTTAAGTAATATAAGAATGTGTCAGAAAATGCAATATCTCTTCCTTATAATTGTCCAAACTAAATTTTCATACATGTTTTTTAAATAGATCTACTCTATATATATACCTCAGCTTCTCTTTAAGGAAAATATTTTATGAATCATAAGTCATAGAGAGTGGCGATGTTTCTTAATCATCATAATTGCATTAATTTGCTTAATACCTATCGGAAAGTTAAATTTTCTAATTACTACGGATGCACATCAAGTAAGGAGACGGGAAAATTTTGCTACAACAATCAAAAATCTGAAGTTGACAATCCGTTGCAGATATTAAAATAAATATTAGCAAAGATAGCTCAGAAATCCAATACAAATGTTTGGAAATATTCTCAATGTCTTTTTTTTTAGTCTAAGAATTCAATTCATTAGTCTAAAATTAAAATAATAATAATAATAATAATAATATTCTCTTATACTTGAGGACAGGAGGGTTATGATAGAAGATTAGTTTAGTTTAATGTATTTTATCAATTAATATTATTAGTTTATTAATTGTTATAGTTAATTGATTCAATCTCTACAGGATGTTACCTGCTCTACGCTAACTGATTTATCCATTTTATATAGAAAATTTCCTACAATAAAAAGACAAATAAAAAGAAATCAACTTTACGGAATAAATTTGTTACAATTCGCCATTTTTTTGAATTGTTGTTGTTATCTATGAGTAAAAACAAGCGAGAACATTATTATTATAGTCGCGCAAACCAACCGATGGAAACCTTACACCTTTTCGTCTAATAAAATCATTTGTTCATTGCCATGATAATACATTAAAAAGGTTGCATTATTTTTGTGTGAATGCTCTATCCATCGAAACTATGCATTTTGGAGGCGGCCCAAAACATCATCTGACGTGATCCGAATAAATCAATGGGTGATATAGGAATTCGAGGAAAAAACAGCTGTAGAATGTAAACAAATCAATTTAAGACTTTTTACTAACTAGCCAATAAAAATGTTTAGGGTAAAAATGTTTGCAATCAACTTGAGACGATGTTGAATGCGAACATTGTTTAAGTGATGAGAATCTAAACACTCTGTGTGTATTAAAACATTCGTACATACAAAAAAGCAGCTACTTAAATAGCAAAATGAGTGGAAGAGTTTTTTCTCGAGAAACATAATATTTGTTTCGGAGAAAGGGATTTGTTTTATGCAAGAAGAGAAGGCCGACATGCAGGAAAATTTCTTGAAGATTGAAGATATTTTATTATTATTATTATTAATTTCGCATACATACGCAATTATTTCTCTGTACCAGGGATTATTTCGCGTACATACGCAATTATTTCTCATACATACGCAATTATATCTTAGGACCAGGGATTATTTCGCATACACACGATTATTTCTCAGTACCAGGGATTATTTCGCCGACATACACGACTATTTCTCAGTACCAGGGATTATTTCGCATATTTCGAAGAAGACATTTGTAAATATCCTTTCTTAACAAAGTTAACAAAGTGAAGCAAAAAAAAAAGGCGGCTACAAAATCGAAAAACACTTTTAAATTTTCTTTTTTAAAAAAGTTACAAAGTTCTATTTAGTGACGGTAAGTGTCATTTTGTCAGAATGCAATAGTCCTTTTGAAGCATGACTTCTAACATTAACTCGCATAAAGATACGTTCGATCGTACGTTTTAAAGCATTCTTTATTCACTTCAAATTTTTATAGATTTAAATTCTATTGGCTTACGTGCGTATATATATTTCATCGTTTTGCTTTTCTATCAAAAAACAATAATTCTTAATGTTTAGATAAATTTGCTAATTGCACTTAGTTTTCTTACCTAAAATAGAAGAAAGTAAATAAATAGTATATAAATATATTAATATATTTTATTATAATCACCTTGATCCTATTGCAAATCACGCAAAGTTTTGTAATGAAATAACAACTGCCTCTGTACAAATGCGAGGAAGACGAAGTAATGGCTTTACAAGAACGTGTCAGCGAAGGGTAAAGCGTGGTTAAATTAGAATTTAAAGATATTAAGGAATCTATGGATGAACGTTTTAAAAAGGGCGGTGCTATTGCCGATGATTCGGCTAAGGCTAAGAAAAAGTTATTTTTGAATGGCTATTAAAAAAAATTCGAATTTGGGTGGAACTTTTACCATTCAATTAATATGAATGAATAAGGTTCAAATTTTTGTTTTGAAAGTTAACAAATTGGTCTAATCTACTAGAACTAAAAAGAACTTTGATTCATGGAACGATTACAAAATGATGGAAATGTGTTTTTGCTATGTAACATATTTTATCAAATTCTTACCAGAAATTTCAACTTTTATTATAGCTCTCATTATCATCAAATTTGAGCGCAGTTTAAACGTACGGTGTCCATATACCTTGCATCACAAATGATTCTAAAATACTTATCAAAATCGATCAAAAAATTAAAGTATTTGGACAACTGTCTAATAAAGCAAGAATACTTTCCATAAATTCAGTCGAGAAAACATCGAAGATGGCCAATTTCCCAAAAAAAATCAGAGCTTCTATTTTGTTGAACTGATATGTTTTTTTTCCCTTAACCAATATTGTAAAATTCAGTCGTTGGTTGTTGAATTAGTAATGTTATTAACTCATTTAGATAATTCTTTTCTTTTCGCCGGCTTCTATATAAGGATGCAACTTGTTATACTTGCTTTAAGCCAGGTAAGGCGGCCACATATAATTGATCACAAATTTTATCCAGTAATGCATATGATAGCTTTTACGTGATTCGTGAAAGTCCAAAAGAAAATCAAAGTCTATAAAAATCAATTCAAATGTAACAAATTGGGTAAAACCATGAGCATATATAAATAAAAGGAATGATGAGTTTTTACTTATTCTCGTCAAAGGCTCTACAAAACGCTTTGTTTTATTCATTCCATCCAAGCGCTCCAATTGCTTATATACACAACACCAATGGGCCAAGCGCTGCATTGTGTAATCAATGGAGATTTCTACCTCATTATAATAATCAGGAAACGTTTGATTCTTTTAAAGTGTTCATTGCAGCTGTTGATAGGGCCAGGCAAAAATGTTTTCATCGGGTTCTAACTGATCAGCAATTATATTACAAGTGATGCCAATAGCTGATAAACAATCGGTAATTAAGTCAGAAGCAATTTCCAGAGATAATTGCTGGGCCGCTTGCGATTTTTCCAACAAATTTTGCATAAAATGACGTCGTGCAGCGTTCTGGCAATGTACAAACGAAATATGTTGAAATTATTATCAGTGCATATTTAAAATTATCTACCTCCACTGTCGCTCCACATTTTAAAGATCCTAAAATACTCATAATTCCTTCTTTTATTAATTTTGTAATGAATACAAATGAACAAAACAATTTTGGGTACAATCTGACAATCGTTATTTAAAACAAAGTTGCTATAGACGGTGTCGTGATATACAAAGACATTATGCACGATAGAATTTATTTTGATACTATTTTCGATATTTCGATTCTAAAAATGCTTTCAAGTTATGCATACGTTGTGCAAGCAAAGTTATTTTGGCGGTGTTGCTGACATTGCTTTCAAAAATTTAAGTTGGCTCCCGCTTTTCTAAAAAATCGTTGCTGTTTTGTAGAGGTTGATGAAAGCAGTGATAAAAAAAAAATAAAAAAATAAATTCCAAACAATTCAAAAAGCGGAGCTTACTGATTTACTATATAATGCTAATTGTTATTAATGTTAAATTTACAAAAATGTAAAATATGTAAAATTCTTATTTAAATAAATTACAATTACAAATGATTGATCGTTGTTTTATTTTTATTTAACTTTTTAACAAATTAGCAAAATAGTGGCTGGGCTTACAATTTTAGTTTGTAGAATTTTGTAGGCTTTGGTAAATTTTTGTTGATATCCTTTACGAATTTGTGCTTAGAAGCAAAATAATATTAACCTTACATTTTTTCCTCATTTTGCCTAATTGACGTAGATGTTTGTAATCCCAGTGAACAACAATTTTCGCATAGATTTATTCATATCGAATACAGTAAATGAATTGGAATTTTCGAATAACTTTGAACCAGGCCAATTTGTTGATGGAAAGTGAGCATGGACTAAGTCAATTACACATGGCTTATATCTCCACATTAAAAAAATTTTATGTAATTCCAGTAGTTATATGCGATCCGATTCAAATGTATTGCTTTAAGTTTTAAGCTAATTAGACGTATTGCGGGTGTATGCAATACTGAGAAAGAGGTGAGAGGGTCTATACCGAACGGATTTGTCGGGTATTTAATAGTGGGCCATGTTCCATTGTAGCGTATTTTCCTATTTATTTATGTTTAGAAGGTTTAGAAGGTTTTTTTAGAGATGTCATTTAGGGGAAAAACTACTGAAAATTTAAATAGAAAGAATAAGAAAAAATGAAAAAATGTTAATTGTTGTATTTGAAATATATTTGATGAACAAAAATTCCACCATGAAGATGGGCGTTGTATATGGTAGGGTGCATAAAGCATACTTTTAATCTGATATTTGACTTTCCATTTCAGTGCAACTGGTTTCTGATTTCTAAAATACCCAACGAATATGAGCACCATTTTCGATGAGGAGTTACACGATGTTCTTAGCCGTCTACTGCGGGATTATCCGAAGTTGTGGCGTCACCGGGGGGGCCCAATTAAAGGCCAGTACCAGAAACTGGCAGGAAAAGTAAGCGTGGAGCTGCAGCGTCCAGTGTCCGCACAAAAGGTGCAAGCCACTTTACAAGATGTCAGGCGGCGTCTGCAACGGCTCGAAAAAGGATCGTCCTCCCGTATGCGTTCCTACGCATACCTATGGTATGCAGAAGAACTTGGATATAGGCGGGCCGTGAAGGCGCTTT